AGTGTGCAGAGTTAATCCATCACAGGGAGGTGCTGAGTGCGGAGCTCAGCGCTGTGTCCCCGTGTGGCTGCAGGATGAGGTGAGCACCGTGCGGCTCCAGCGCCGTTTGGGGCTGAGCGGCTTTGCTCTGAGATACGCTCACTCTCACAGCAGTGCTCTGAGCATTCCTTGAGGCTCTTCTCACAGGCTTTACCAGGAGATGATGCTGGCTGACCAAACGAGCAGGTGTAAGCCTACGGCACGCTGGATGTACAGGATGTTTACCACCAGGCACAGGGAGCAACATCTGCACTTTGGGTCTTTTTTCTTTTTTGCCTTCGGGCACAAGGTACTGACTCAAATCTGAACATGAAATGTCTGTTGCTGTATCCAGTGTGCATATGCTGACCATAGGACAGTCAGGAATACAGTTTGAGTTTGCTCCTACTATCCACAGTCAATACAAAATTTAGAGAAATACAGTACATAGCATTTAATTGTGAGCTAAATGGAAATTTGGGAAGCAATATAAGCCATTTTGTTTGCCAGCAGGCAAGGTAGTTGTTTTCTGTGAAAGTTTCTCCACCTCGTCTGCAGCCATTTCACCCCTTTCCATTTTGCCCTTTCCATTTACACTACCAGCACACCCAGTCCGTGCTATTTTTTTGAGGGGTGTTTCTAGGGTTAATGCCCAGAGCCTTCAGCTCCACCCGCTGGTCATTAACCCAGAGGAAACACCCTGTGCTTAGAATAAGGCTTGCTGAGACACCAGCCGAAGAGATGCGCTCAGTAAACAATTCCAGGCGGTTCGGGATGAAGAAGTTCTGACATAGCTGGGGATTGTTAACATGCAATAGTAAATTTGCAGGCTGCCAAAGCACTGGAAGACTTCTCAGCCCTTCTCACCCATACAGGATGAACAAAGAATTCCCACCTGCTGTGGCTTTTTAGTACTACGCTGTCCTCCACGGTAAAGATCCCTCCTCCTTTTTTAACATCTCAGCATTTATGGGAGATCATTTCCCGTGAAAGTGTAATTTGGAAATTTGTCATTTAAACTTGAAAGGGATCCGTGGCCATTTGTGACTGACAGCCTATTCCTTCGGTTCAGAACAGACAGAATCCCACACGTAGAACACCAAGTCATGCATTATTACTTAGCACAGGTTTGCAGCGCCTCTAAATCACTTCTGCTCCATAACAACACCAGAACAAAGACAAGCAATGATGTGTTGCACTGCAATAAATCACACACAGCCAAGTTTAAATATTTTAACAAACAGGGTCAAACTATATATAAATGATTTGGAGACTTACAGTGCCACAGATGTTGCTGGAAACCAACGTCCATCCTGAAATTACAGATTACGTCCAGTTTGCTGGAATGTCACATCTAATCAGTAGTGGCATAGCCAGGGGGAAATGGGACAGAGATGCATGTTCGAGTGGAAGTTGTAAATGGAATTAGAAGTCCTCCACTGCCTGTAAATTCCTGAACCTCTCAAAGTAAACAGTGACGTACCCATCATTTTTCAGTGTGCCTCTTTTACACTGCACAGAAAGTAACTGCTTGCTCAATGAAATGTGGCACTAACAGCTCTTCCAAATCCTGCCTGGTTCCTTACCTGCCTGTGTGCGCTGGGGCGTGCTGTGAGTGTGTGGGTGTGCCTTTCTCGCTTCTTTCTGCAGCGTGATCCTATTAGCTGTACAGCAATAAATCGGCCCTGGAACAACTCCAGCTCGGTATCCACAGGGCCTCGCTGCAGACCTTCGCCAATGTCAATCACTTGTTCCACTGAGATGAAAGTTGCACCAATGTAAAGCTGGCACATGACCAGAGCCAACTGTCCCAACTCCAGCTGTTACTACATATGTGGTTTCAAAGGCACAACACGTTTACAGGAATGCAAGTGGTGCTGTGCTCACCGGGTGGCTGAGGAATGAGCAGGTCACTGCTTTAGTTTCAGATATTTTGTGTGAGTTTTGTGTGAGAAGATCAGCAGTACCCATAAGAAAAATAAGCAATGTATCTTCTTACACACGTGAAGTGGCAACGTACAGAAGCTGAATAAAATGTTGAGGCTACGCTTTAAATCTCAGCACGCAGGAGAGGTTCTCTGGGTTTTCTTAACCACTGATTATGTGTTTCGTGTAGGTTCGAGCTAGCGCCATTGCTCAGGATGCTGACCAGAATTACGACTATGCCAGTAACAGCGTGGTTCTTCACCTGGAGCCGGGAGATGAAGTTTACATTAAATTAGATGGAGGAAAAGCACATGGAGGGAACAACAACAAATACAGCACATTTTCTGGATTTATTATTTACGCCGACTGATAATGAGTCAAAAGACCCACCCAAGCACTCTGACAATGAAGCTCGCCCTTCTAAGCAATGGATTTGCGTGGCAAAAGTCAGTGAAACAAGCACCCCAGCAGAGATTGACCGCTACACCTCACCAGTGGGGGAATGTCGAATGCTACCTGGTTCACATCTGTATGACACAGAGAAACTTTGCGTTAACAAAAATACAAAACAAGCTAGACAGATGTGCGATCCACTACCGCCAAAGCAAATACTTCCTCATTGTTAGTGTCCATGTGAATGAAGTCTTACATAGATCAGATTTTTATAGGAAACAAACACAAAAAGACGCTGAGTTATTTCTTCAGTGTATATGATACTTTGATGTGCTATGATCTTGCTGCTTTATCCATACTTCAGCTTTGGTTCTTGTGACTTACCTGCTAACAATGATGCTTGGAGTCCACTCATAGTGTGGTGAGGAATGATTTTACAATAAAAGGAAGAGGTAATCAAAATACACTTTCTCTCTCCAAAGGAATTGTTTGCCTTGTACTTTTCTTCTCCTTCCACTTAAAACTAGAAACTAACCAGCTTCAAGCCTTAACTCGATGTTCCTGCTTCGTAGGTTTACATTAGACTTTTAACATAATATCCAACCACTCAAGTTGTTCAATTTTGTCTTCCCCTTGGCTGTATTCTAAAAGAAAAAGAGGGATAGAAAAAACACTTTTTTTTCCTGAAAAATTGAACAGCTGTCGAACTATTATATTGGACCAAATCCCTGATTACACTGAAGCCAATGGCAAAACTCCCATTGATTTTAGTGGAAAGAGGATTTGGCTGTTAGTTTGTAAACATGTGTAAATATATATTTAGCCAATGTTACAGGCCCATTCCTGATGGTTAGTTGTGTAACTATTTAGGCCTAGAGTCCACATCCTCAGATCCAGGTCACGTATTCTTTGCAGAAACTAGTCTTCATTAGTCCTTTAGCACTTAGTCTGTACTTGGCTACTATTTTTAATAAAACAGTGATGACTTAACATACTGCAGGTGTTCAACTAGGATTTTGTAGGAATGGGCCAACACTTAATTGTCTTCAGTGTCTCATCTCACTGAAGTTGGTGGGATCCTTCCCACAAAGGAAGAGTGAGAGATGAAATGTAGGAGAAAATGTTGGGACGCAGGCCTTCTCCGTGGTACTTAGCTATCAGTTTGTAGTAAGCTGTGCCTGAGATGGACACAGATAAGTATATTACCAAAAATGAAAACACATATGCAAAGAAAGAAGCAGATACTTACATGCAAGAGAGTGTGTATTAAAACCTATTTTTCTCATTCATATATATATATATATATAAAGATATATATATCTAAAGTCTCAAAGAAAGAAGTTTAATACGTACAAAAGATTAATAGCTTGGAGAATTAAACTAAGCACAGATACTATGAGTTACATAGTTATAAAAATGCTTTAAAATCAGTCATACCAGGAATAGCCACAGAATACTTCTGTTCTGAAAATAATTTATTATTCGCTTTGTTTGGGGGACGGGAGGCTATCTATTTCTCTCAGTTAAATCTTGCAAATTTCCATCTAAAAACGTTACTGAGATTATTAACTAGCTCCTTAGCACAGCTGGTTATGCTATTCTTAGCAATTTGGCAAATTCAACGTAAAATTTGTGAAAATCATTGAAGAGTAATAGAGGCAATCCCTAGCATTTCCATGTCATGCCATTTGCCATAAGCAACCTTGTCTAATCCGCTAAGGGTATGAACTCAGATTTCTCTGCAGTAAGACGCCCAGAGTGTCTGCCATTGAGACAAAGAGCTCTCCAGGGCTGAGTCCTCAGTAAAGGTGATGAAGATTTGAAGAATGTCTCTAAAAAGCCTCGTTTGAATGAGTAAAGCTTTTAAAAGAGCATAGTTCTCGTTCTGTTCCTGGTTTGAGTTGTCAAAAAATAGACTGAGATGGTCCAGGCAGAGAGGATGGCTGGCCTCATTCATCGAGGTGTTACAGAGGGACAGTGAGTTGCAGACTGCTTGTGTATTGTCTCATCAGATCGGTTACACTTTCGGGCTACAACACAGCACTGAGCTGTGTGTAGTGGCAGGGATCACTCCTGGTTTCCTACTACTACGTCACGCATTGCAGTGGCAGATGTGTAGCTGACTTCTTGTCTGTTCAATCCAAAATTGCTTTTATCACTCAGCGTACTGCCAGCAGTGCAGCTAGAGGTTGTCTGTGTCAAGCAGTAATGTAACAAGCTAGAAATCATTTGCAACTAGCAATGCATATTTACTGAGGTATTTATGGGACAAACTTCAGCACCATAAGACATATTAGGTGAAATCTGAAGAAGCTTTTGAAATCAGGCTACCATTACTACCGGGTAAGACCTTCTTTTTTGGGTAAATCGCTTGGTAAAAGATAGACAAGAGGAAACAACACACTTTATGTGAAAAACACATATAAGGCAAACATCTATTCCTTTTTCATCATATCTTGATATACTGATTTGTAAAGACTTATATCACAATCTTTGTTATAACTATTGCAACTCATTAAAACCATATTATGTAATATATTTTGACTTTTGGTGTTGCATCCTTACAAAAAGCCGATGGTCTTGTATGCACTTACATGTGATCATTGGGAGATTCCATGAATTCCAGGTGACAAATTAAAAAAGAAATCCGTAACACGACTACATACAGGAGTCTACAAATTGCTTTATTAAAAAATAGTATTTGTCATGTATTTTTTCTGCCAGTTTCAGTTAGAAATCAGTACATTGTTCAACAAGAAAGAAGCAGCATCTTTTTAGAATTATTTGAAATTTTGCCCTCTGTTCTCTTTGGAAGTGATTTAAAAGTGACAGACCTTCTATCATTTAAATAGTGCTTAATAAAGGGATAATTAGCAGATTATCAATATTACACGAATGAAAATCACACCCTGGAGAAGGGGAATTTAATTGAAAACTGTGATTTCTTTCAAAGCTCAGATGATGCTTCTTCAAAAATATTTTTGGAGAATGTAATAATAATATGAGATTACTCTTTGGTAACAATTATTTTAATACACTGAAAAGATTTTGCATATCCAGCAAATCATTCATGAATGGACTTTTAGAAGGGAGGAAATACAGAGAAAATAAGTAATTTTGGTGGTCTAATTAAGAAGTCATGATCAGGTTGTTCATAGCACTAATACCTTCTGGATCTCTGAAAAGAAGCACGTATTTAAATGGCTGCTCTCCTAAATCAATCTGAATTGCACCAATCTTCCCTATAAGGTAGGGATATTAATTCACTATTCTTACTTAAAAGTCAACCACCGCTTTGGATTTTCTATCAGTATTTTATCAATTTTATCCTGTGATATGCCTCTAATCAGCATTTTAGGAACAATGTTTTTGAGGATATGTGAATATCCGTGACCTCCGTATTTCATCAACCTATTCTTTGTGTGCACATCATGAGCCATCAGCATTCTGTCTTCGTAGCCTTCATCGATCAGCATACGAATCCTGCAAAAGCAAAAAGCATAGCTCTCACTGACAGGTCCTCAACACAGGACTCGTCAGTATTTAAACCTCTTACATCTTAGTACTCCTACACTGCATTATGACTATTTTTAGGTACTGAAAACTTTCCTTATATTTATTTCAAATTTAAAACATTTATTGTACTGAATTGAAAAAACTCCACTCCTCCACGCATCTCAAAGTGGAGTAGGAAGACTCTTCCCAGTTGGCACAGCTTTGGATTTCCTGAGCCTGTGGAGGTATTCAAGAATGTCACTCTCACAAAGCACGGGGCGTGGTTTTATTTGTACAAGTAATAAGTTCTCAGGAAAGCTCCTTTTCAGCATGATCAGTTCATGGGGTTAGCTGTTGCTGCTGACACAACACTAGTTGTAGTTAATAGCCATTAAGGACCTGACTGGTTGTGCTCAGTTGCTTTCACATTGTCAGTTAATTCTCATCTAGAATAACCAGGTTGATAAAAATTCTGAATTGTCGACATCATATTCCACATAGTTATCAATCAAACATGTTTCAAATATGCTCATTAGATTAGGTAAACAAGATGAGCATTGTAAAGTGCTGGCATGTGCCAGCAAGTTAACAGGAGTTAATGCAGCAGCCCAACTGAAAGACTCGGCAAACTGATAAACTTGACTCAAAGACTTCTGGCCATTGCCTTGTGGCAAGCCTGATACAAGGAGGCCTTCTGTTCCTCATTTCACTCTGGGAACCTCAATCCCTTGCTACACTCAGTTTTTAGAACTTATTCTGTAGGAATCCAAACTTCTGCACTGCATGACTTTACACCCGTAAGCTTCTGTTTTTCGCTTGCATTAGTAGCAGGCCACAGCATTAAAGTGGCAGAGGCAGATAGACCGGACTATTTCTCACTGAGCCACCTAATTCTATCATATACCAGCACTGTGAAATTCTAATTTTCACCTTCTTGACTGTACTTTGATCAGCAAGAAAGCAAACTCTAGTTCTGTAAGTAACCACACCATATCTGGAAACCCTTACTGTCAGTTTTTATTACAATTACAAGAAAATACATCTAGCATAACCTAATTAATATGGGCACAGTGGGAAAAAGTCAAGTGTGACAGAGCTTGGTAAGAAAATATCTTTCAAGAGAACAATATAAATAGTATGTATATTGTAGGATTACGATGTCACCAGTTGTATGGGATCTGCTGAGTCACAGCCTGAACCTCTGATTGATCACCTGAGGCGAGCACTGAGTCAGCCATGGAGCACAGGTGAAGGCAATTCTCCTGTGCTGCTGGAATGGGGGGGGCCTGGCTCCACCCCTCCTAGACCTACTTAACAGCTGGCTACGGGGGGAAGAGCTCTTCTGGAGATTTGCTCTGCTGGAGTTTTGTGAGTGAGCCCAGGAAAGGGGTAAGCTTTCTATCTATTCTGTTTTTATTATCATTATCTGCTTTGCCAAACTCTCTTGTTTATTTTGTAATTATGATATCTTAATATTCATTGATTATACATCAGTATTTTCTTGATCCTGAAACACAGAAACCACAAATTAATCAGAGAATAAGAGCAACAATACTGGAGGGCTGTGTACATTCTTGGATGATTAAACATCCTCTTAAGATCATCTTCTTCCACAGCTGGACTCATTTTGTGGTTTGGGGAGGCATAGGGTCCTTTACATTCCATATTTGAAGCTTGATCATTCCTCTGAGTTCAGCTGGTACTTGCTGCTGACTCAGGGAAAGCTGCCCTTACAAAAATTCAGTTTTTTACTTGCCCTGGCAGTAGATTGCAGCATAAATGAGTTAAGTACAAACAAATTAAACTCTGTTTGAGTGGATATTGTCTGACCACAGAAGTTTACCTGTATTTTGAATAGATAAGATCTGAACGAACTTTTTTCTATTTAGTTGGTCAAAATTTGTTCCACTGACACACTTGAAGACCATTTTGATTGCCACCTCTCTAGCATTGCTTGACCAAAAAAAAAAAAAAAAAACCACCCAAAAACAAAAACCCACAAAAAAACCCCTAGCAACTCAGGAAGATTGCCACTGTCATTAAATGCCCAGTGTGGTTGCACCAAAAGCTTCCCAAAACCCACCTAACAGCACTCCTAACTCGAATGCAGGTTTTTGCATCATACAAGAGAAAACAAACTTTCAGTATTTTCTGCCTATGAGCAGTGCTGCAATGAACACTCAGCTGTCAGAGAGTTTAAGGAGAGATGCTGGTGGCTGAGGACTCATGGATGGAATGAAAACTTTGCCATGGCTAAACAAACTCTTATTAATCAAGGCATAGTCCATCCTTCTACACATTCTCTTCCCAGTACTTCTATGCATGTTGACCAACTGTGGCACAGGAGAGAGGAGCAACACATTCACATGTGTGTACAGTGTGAAAACTGCAGACTCATTCCAACCCTTCAGAACACTGAGCACAAGACAGAGAGTTCTGTTAGAGAAAGGATTCCCAGTGTGAAAAGCAGCAGCAAATGCTTGGCAGTAAGTGGAACTGTAACTACAACAGCCTTAAAACAGATGTTTCACAGCTAATCTGATGGTGAATGGCAGAAAAACAAGATCTCAAGTGCAGGTGAAAGCAAGCAAGCTACTTCATTGGTGATCAAGAACCTTACAGGCTTTCTCATGAAAGAGAAATGAAGAATTACTTCTGATTCTGAAAGTGGAAAAGACGTAAGAGAGGCTGGCATCCCACCCCTCAGAAAACAGGCACTTGACTACACATAAACACTGAAAATGAACAGCAAAGGAGGATGGCATATCTGGACAGAGAGAATGGAGCCATGCTTCGTGTTAGCAAAGCACAGCAGACCTGTCTGCAGCTGAGCCAGCACTGCATGCACTGCGGAAATGAGGAAGAGGGATCCTGCCAGTAGGGCCAATATTTTCACATTGTGAATGTGAAGAGAACGGCAGCTCTGAAGAGACAGGAACATCATCCTTCCAAAGCAGGAAAGGACAAAGCAAACAGGGAAGATAAATGATAAAAAGTGTGGATGACCAAGCGTGGTTTTCAGGATGAAAAAAGGGAATCAAATCCACGCAAGAAAACCAATGAGTTTTGCTCACTTGTGAGAAGTCATTACAGGCTCAGACAATGCTTGGTAGTGACACTGGGCTTCAAACCAGTCAAATCTTAACACATATCCTGTATATCCAGACTTCCCTTTTATAATTTGACAGCCTATATACATCCAGTAAATGATAAAATTAAACAAAATCAGCATGGAATTAGGACAGAGAATGAAGTTAAAGCAGCTTTTGATCTTTTTCTCAAGTTATACTCCACGACTCTCTGATGCCACATTTTCCTTTGCAGATAGAAGAAATTATACATGGTGCCCTAGAAGTGACAGCAGCAAAAAAAAAAAAAAAAAAGAAAAGAAAAAATCCATTAATTTAGTATGAGAAAACACAATTTTGAACTGTAAGCAGAACTGCTCTGTGATACCCTTTAAGATGTACAACAATAATATTAATTTGTCAGTGGCAATGCTATTGCTTAAACCACACTAAAGCATGTACCTTGCAATTCTGTCATTGTCACTTGGCATGTCAATGTCAGGTTGGAAGTGGTAATAGATAAATTCTGTACCAAATAGGTCATACTCCAAGTAGCATCCAAGTTTTGCAAATTCCAGAAGTTTCTTTGTATCAAATATGGTCCTGCAGAACACACAGAACAAAATGTCAGCACTGTAAAAGGGGGAAAAAAACCCACTAATGGTAGGATGGTGATATATATTGTGACTTCCTACTTGTAAGGAACAAAACCAACGTAAGATGTTGAAAAACAGAACTCATGTTTGACACGTGCAACGTAACATGACACACAGCATTGTCTTTCTTTCAATCATGCATTAAATGCAGATGAAGCAAAAGCAACTCTTCCCCCATGATATAATAAAAACATTTACAATCATCTTTAAATGGAAGCAGAAAGGTTACTTACTTTTAATATCACTAAACTACTAAATAGACAATCAAACAAGGAAGGACATTTAAGGAGGAGGTTAACTCAGTGACATTTAAAAAAAAGACAATGGATTGCTTACATAAGACAGATTTACTTTCCCAGAAGAGTTACAGGAGACAGATACATCCAGGGCTTGTTTCATCCATCAAGCACTGTTAATACGTAACTTTGTCTTCAGTTTCCATAATGTACAGTGATGTCTCCAGACTGTCACTGGAAATGCAATATATCACAGTCTGCCCTGGGATGTGGCCAGAACACCTTAAGGAAATGCTCTTATGAAAATATATAATGGGTCTGCAAGTAGCTGAGGTATGGCTTTTGCATCAGATTTGGAAAGTGAAGGAACAAAGCTACAAAAATCCATCACTCATTTGGAAAAGAAGAATAACTCTACAGCTCTGTTTTTTTTCTCTGAAACATTTTTACCAAAAATATAAACTATGCAAATGAAAAACAAGAATAACAAGAAAACCCACTATCCAACCCTCAAATGTAAACCTTTTAACCCATGTGAATTTATTCTTATAACCATTACACGTTTTTTGCATCTAGGGAGAAAATAGCTTTCCACCAGGGCAACACAGCTAACCAGAACGGCTGTAGTTCTGTTCTTATTGCTGATATTCACGTCATAATTTTATCCTATACAATTACATCACAGTCTGCCACTATGGAAATGCTTGACGTCACAAATTCAATATATTATGACTTAACAGGATCAAGGAGGAGGAACAGACGAGAGAGAACCCTTGCTGAGTGAAGCCTGCCATCAGTAGGAGTCTAAGACTTGCCAAGTAAAATTAACTGAAAGTGTTATTTCAAAATAAATGTTACAGTTTACAAAGACTGAAACTACATGTGTTTTCAAGATGCAGAGCAAGCATGTAGGTTATTCTAGATCCAATCACAATCAGCTCAGACAGTAGCCAAGAGCACCTATGCCTGTGCAGTGACCCTATGTGTTTTTGAAAACAAAAACAAAAACTAGTCAGGGAAATAACAAAAAAAAAAAAAACACACCACTCCACCAACAACATATTTCAAAATCACAGCCAGAACAACAGGTTTTGGAAACTACACTTAGCATAGTGGTTTTGCAAGTTCTGTCCCACCAAGAGTAGGAGAGCTTGATTTCCCCAGCCCATGGGTCCCCTTGGAGGCCTCACTGATGCAGCAGCAGCAGCTCCCAGTTCCACTGGCTGGTCCGTGTGCTGGGTGTAGATGTTGGGGCAGCATGGCCCTGAGCTGTCCTGAACGCAAGGAAAATGAGATGGGATGCAGGTCCTGCAGGCTGGACTTCATCTGTAAGTCACCTAAAGGACACCCACCAAGACACGTTCAGACCAACATTCCCAACAGCTGCTGTGAGTCTTTGAACAAAAGTTCCTGAAGCAATGGATGCTGATCTCTACCAAGATCCTTTACAACCTTAATCCCCGTTAAGGGATTGGATTCAGTAGCCAAGATTCAGGAGCTTTTGCTTCCTAGCCTTCATGTGCACTGTATTTCCAAGATAGACACTTGCTACCTTTTGTTCTAAGATGCGAAATGGCAAAATGGTGGCCTGCATTTTAGTTTTAGCATTTGACTGTAAATCCACCTGAAAACTGCCCCTCTGCATATGTCAAAAGCTGGCAGGAAATATGGAGCTATGTACAAATTCATCTCACACTGAAGGGGCTGGGATGCTCCCAGATGGATTCTTCTCAGTGAAAGAGACCTAAAATGTTAAACGCACATTGCAAAGCCAAACTTCACAGCAGTTTAGAGCCTGTGTTACAGCAACTGCCAACCTGAATGTGTGAAAATAACGATAGAAGAAAGACAGAATAAGGAAATGCCATATTGCTTATCAGTGGTTGTAAGAGAAACTGCACCTCTGCCTTGACTGTTTTCCTGCTTATGTTGCTTATTTTTTCCACCAATAAATCACGGAATTCAGTGACTTACAACAGTGTATAAAGGCAAAAGACCAGAACTGACGTTGGTGTTGTAGCAAAAATAGGTCCGTAAGTACTATGCTGCAGCCTGCTCAGTCATCTTTCACAGAAACATTTAAGCCATCAGTTTTTCTTAAGAACTGAGAAGAAAAAAAAGAGCTATACATACAATGGAATTCAGGCAAATACATAAGGAAAGGCCGTATCATTTCTGTATCATAGAATATAAGTAAAATTTCATGACACTGAATATTATGCTCCTAAAACCCCCATATAAAACACCGAGCTCTGTACAAAACCTGCAGCGTGATTTGTAAGCTCATAAAGCCTAAAATGATTAGAAATTTGGAGATCAGAGCTCTTGTCTGCATTACACTCATAGTGAGGACAAACAATCCAATTGCTGATAGTCATATGACCACATTATTCAACAACTGTCCAAACTAATCAATGCTCGGACTTTTTCCAACTCATCACGGGTCACACAAGATCACACAAAAGTGATTTGTTAATAGAGAATGTGTTTCTAAATTGGAGTGAGAAAAGCACCTGGTTCTTCCACACATCTGATGTAGGGCTTCAGGTTTTTATTCTCAAGGAAAGTAGAAGTTAGCTCTGTGGTCTAAGGTAAGGATCATCCAAAATCCAACAGTTTTCATTTTAAGTAGTATTTCTTCTGTCTGATAGCAGAATTGAAAAGTTCCAGCTTTGATTCAGAATTCACCCAAATCACTGAGTGTTCCATTAGCATCAGTGGCCCACTTTCCAAAACGCTGGAATCCCAGCAGCCCTCACCACATCTGGGAAAGCCACTCAACATCCAGTTCTCATGATTTGTACAGGCAGGTGAATTCACCAAATCTTCTTTAAGGAATAAAAAAATGCAAAATGCAGCTACAGTTATTCCTAACCTTGCATCTTCTGAAGGAGTGCTTACCTGTCGAGGTGAGACATGACTGTTTTGGAAGTGTCAGCCCCGGCTTCCTGCAGGATGCGAACTATCTGGAAGGGTGCATCGCTGTGCCTGCCAGGGTGGATGATGATGGGGCACCCGATCTGTGCCTGTGCGTGTGCAGCCGCCTGCAGCACCCTGCGCTCGCTTGCAGTCATGGGCCAGGAGCAGCCGATCTCTCCCACCACACCGCACCTGATGTCAGTCCCATCTGCTCCGTGGAGGATCTCATCAACAATGATGCCTGTGAGCTGAGGATTGGGGAAATGAGGCTTTTTGTTAGCAGTACCATTTTTATTCAAGCAGCATCAAATGTGTCTTGTGGACGCTGTGGTCCTACTACTGAGGTCCTTTTAGACTTATTTAACAGTTGGGGGTGTGAAAATGCTGCAGTTAAAATCTCGTTTCTGCCAACTAACATTAACCTAGCCATTAACTAAGACCAAAATAAACAGAGAAGGAAATCAATATAACAGTATCCACAATTAAGAGCATTTCTCCCTCAGTTGTCTGGTTTGTAGGGAAAGCTAGTTCACACACAATTTGAGTACTGATTTAAGTTGGTAGGTCCAGAAACAAGTCCTGCTAAACCGGGGCTCAGCAAAAAAGGAATTCTTGTTATTCAGACAGGAAAGGAAGAAAGTCTGGCAAAGATTCCAGGCCTCAGGACCCAAAAGTCAAGTTTAAGGCAAATCCTGCTCTTTGGAATGCAAATGTAAAACTACAATAACTCAACTGATGCCAGAACTACAAGCAGAAATCTCAGCTGAGCATATGTCCAACCCTCCATGCTATGATCACACTCCTTCTGCTTCACGTATAACCAACCTACCAAACATTTCTACAGACAACCAGACAGGGAATTCACTTTTTTCACTTCTTTCCTGAGATCAACTCAAAGAACATTGCTCCTGCATCAATAACACTCTCATTTCACTAAACACCTCTGAACTTACAACACCTACTTATCTCCCTCATTCAGCTAAGGCTAGCAAAAAAAAAACCCTCAAATTATCTTTGCCTAATCAGAAAACACATCATTAAATCAAATTAGTCTTATCACAGATCACTGCTCCATAAGTAATTTCTCCTATTTTATGATGCTGACCCAGAACATCAGATGCGGATGTTGGTGGTACAGCAGCAGAGGTGGAACCTTGCCTCCAGTATTCTGTTACATGTTGTTGCCATGTGACAGATGGCAGCAGAGGGGCAGTCTGACAAAACAGTGTCTGACATGAAAGTGTGGATGAAGCAAAGGTGTGTGAATTCCTCCATGTGGAAAAAAATCGCATTCAGTGACATTCATTGATGCTTGCTGAATGTTTATGGAGACCAAAGAGTGGATGTGAGCTGAATGAGCTGATGGGCGATGCGTTTCAGTGGTGACAGTGACACTGGGTCACCTCCGCTAGTGCAGACTGTTACAAGCATAGCATGCAGGGAGATTCCTGCTAAATACACGGAGCTAATGGTGGTGACCATGCTGAAAAAGTGTTTTGTAGCTGAGGATTTGCTCTGTCAAATAGTTTCACTGCGCTCTTTGTTGTAGTTTCCATGGAAATAAACAGGAGGCATTACTTCTGGAGCAATATATATAATTGTCTTTTGGACTGGATTCAGTATTGATGAACCGCTGACTGCAGGACACCTGCTGCAGTCCATCAAATACTGAAGGGAAACCTGTGCCCATCTACTTGTACCAAATTCTAAATGTTTAGGAAAAGCACTATCCTACAGCTTGTTCCACTTCTGTCCCCTGAGGTTTACAGTACTATATCACATCACATCTGCTGAAGTTTTAAACACTTATTTTTAAAATGAATTTGACTCATTTGTAAACTGTGATAGATTAAAAAAACAACTTTTCTCAGCTCTACTCATTCACATTCACAGCCTCCTGCCTTGGAGAGTTCCCTCCCTTCTTCTCCCTATCATCACATTTTCTTAATAAAAGATGAATGAATATTTATTATTGTAGAAATATCTGGGGATCTCAGTCATTATTAACACATTGTCTTGGGCACCGTGCAAACAACAGGATTTAGATTCTGCCCTGAAAAGCCTGCAAAACAGTACAGAAGAGAGAAATAACTGGCAGCTTGAGCAGAGTGATGATTTACAACTGTCCTATAAATACTGCTATTTTTTATGCTTTTTACAAGAATTCTGCGTGATCTAATTGGGAAGTAATTACCAGGGAAACAGACAAATGAGGAAGAAGAGATATGCTTCTTCCCTAAATAATTGTAAAAAGGATAATTGGTGTTGTACCAGATGCCTACATGAAATATTTTATCTTCCTTTTGCTGCTGCGTTATAACTCTCTGAGAGAAAACACAGCTTAAGCACTGGAAATGCTGACAGATAATCCCAGTACACACCAGTAGGGCTGGGCCAACTATTACACAAAAGCAGGAACACTGTTCTCAAGTTTTGCAAATTAAGAACTTAAGGATTTCACCCATTTTGTTTGAAGTTCTCTCCATCTTTGACACATTCAGAGATGATTCGCAGCAGAGAGGCCCCCAAGAAATGCTTAAGACTTACCTGCTCCACTGTCATAGCCTGCATTTGAGAAGAGTGTGTGGAATCCACATAAAACCCAGCCCCAGCAATAATATGGACTCCAGTTTCTTCAGCGAGTTTCTTCAAAGTCTTCATATCCCGACGGATTCCCATGGTCGTGTTCTCCACAATAGTTCCACCGCCTGCTGCTTTAAAATGCAGCAGCTCCTCCCTCACGGCATCCATCTCCTGACACAGAAGAAGGTTGTCTTTATGGCTGTAGGGATTCTGCTTGATCCAAAACAAGTTCTTCATCTTGATGGGCCCCTCAGACAAAGGCTCCTGGCCTGGTGAAGGTGGACAGAAGAAGCTGCTGTAGTCCATGGACAAGTGTTCATGTGTCAACGTACAGCCGAGCTGCTCCGGCTCCACCAGGCCCAGCACAGTTTGTGCCTTTCCACTCAAGGAAGACATTTTTCTTCAGCTATTGTAACGGGAAAAAAAATCAGATTTGAAAAATTCTTGGAAGAAGAAAGGAAACAAAACATTTTAGACAATGCAAAAGCATTTCTTAGAAGATTTCTGAATTCTCACTTACACACATAGCTACACATCCAGTGTGCCTGAATGGTTTCAAGATGGTTTCAGCAGAACAATCAATACAAAAAACAAAGCACTTATGTTATCCAGTTACAACTGTGCCTAACCCTAACACTATAGAAATATCACATTTCAGTAAAAGGAAATCATCATCATCATTTATTGTGCAGTAGTTGGTACAACATTAAGATAAATGCTTCCTATTTAATAACAACCACTGCATGTTCATTTTGGATTCTCCACTCTTTGGCAGCTGTCAAATTTTGTCATCTTGAATTTTGTCAGCTTGAGCCACCAGATGAACACACTTTGCATCCAAACTGAGTATTCCTGACTGGTACCTTCACTCCAAGTGTCCTCCAAGACGCGCTTTCCCCTTCCCACATTGAGGAGCCTCGTGTGCTCCAGCGCAAGGAACGCAGGGAGGGGGGCCAAGTGCTCACTCTCTTAGCATGGGCTGAGTCCTGCCAGCCCTGCTTGCCTAGCCCCAGAGCAGCTCCTCCAAGCAACAACAGACATGGAAAACCCAACTTGACCCCGTCCAGCTGGGCAGAAATTCCAGCGTGCTTCCAAAATGCTTTTTCCATCAGCTTCCTTGACCAAATATTTTACCAGTTAAGAACAGACTAACATTTAATTTACATGGCTCAGCCTCAGTGCTGAGCTTTTTTTCCTTATCTTTAACATAAATGAAACCACGTTATTTTTCAAAACTTCAAATGAACTGTGACAAAGACATACCTGTAGGCTACCATCTACAATTGGCTCACGTCACAGACATCTGCTCAGTGGAAGTTTAGTCTGGACCTCTACAGGTTAGAATTAACTGCTCCATTGGGATTTTGGGGTATTTTTCTTCTTTTGGAGGTGGGGGTGCTCTTTTTAGTTTATGTGCCATATTAACATTAAACACAGCTGACTACTCAGCTCATGTTAGATCTTCCTGATGCTAGCTGCAAAGGCTGGAGGATATGTAGTTACAATCCCTAGTCAACCAAAATCAGCAGTTATGAAACAAAATACATGTTTAATCATGTCCAGAGGACAGGACTAACTAGAGCATGCATTATTGATTAAAGAGAGAGGTCTTTCCCATTTCTGTCTCCCTTCAGTGAATAATATCACAAACATGGATTTGCCACTGGTGAAGCCCTCAGAAGACGTTTTCCTTTTAACTGCTAATGTTAATCTACTAGGATGACAGAAAGCTGAAATCTGAAGGGCACTCGAGTCTGCATATCAAAGAGCAGTAGAACACCTATAGTTCTTTGGGGATACTTTCTTTTCATAAGCAAGACTCACTGTCAGAGCACACTTGTCACAATGACCTGTAGAAGGCAGACTCACCTGTCGAGTTAAGTCAGCACTGCTGGCGGTTCCTTTATCTGAGAACTCGGCCATCCATAAGAAAAAGAAAAGACCGATTGACCGTACTTCGTGCTCTCTGTGTAAGGAGCCATGTGTGATAATTCCATTTAGGAAGAACTGTTCTTTTATGAATTTCATTTGTAGACTGGTGCACTGACTTGTTTGAGAAGGCAGAATAATAATTATTCTCATAGAACAGACTGCTGGCTGACTAATAGAATGATTTATTTTTTGCCAAACAAATTATGAAGTGCATGATTTCAGAAAATATTATTCTTGAGCAAACACTTAAAAGCAAAATACCTGTCTTAGTCAGAAACTGCTGCTAACTGCAATTCAATTAAGTTACCCAGCCATTAATTGCATTCTGGAATAAAGCGATGCTCTATAGAGCAGCCCACTATTCTGGAGGAAGTTCAATGATCTGAGTCATTCTTATGCACACAGCAAAGAGACTATATGGTAACTGTACTCTTACTTTTTTCCTTTTTTTTCATTAACCACCAATGCTCTGGTGTGCAGAAGGACCCCAGCAACACAAGTGATATCCCATTGTGGTAGGAACCCAGCAGCACAGTGATATCCACTCTGTACTGCAGAAGTATTTTTTTCACTACGTTCATTCACGGATGATTTTCAAATCAATGGATTAAGTTAGGAAAACAAACCTATATAAATATTTAGGTCTCTAAATATGTAAGTATTGAAGCTCTTTTAAAAAATCAGACACAAAATAATTATAGTCTCTTTCCTGTTAAGGAAAGAGTTATTTATTCAGTTACTTGACACTTCAGAGACTCCAAATAGCCATTCTATGTGATTCAGAAGTTTTGCTCACTTTCCAATCTATTTCATTTAAAAAAACCTTAACTTTCAACATTAGTTCCCGCCAATTCCTTTCTGATACAGGTAAATTAGATTACCCTCAATTAATCTGGCCTGAAGATTGGGAAGACCCATGGTTGTGTGAAATTTTCATACAGCCTGAGGCTGCTGTCTTCTGATTTACAACAGCAGGAAAAACCTAGAATTACCTGTTAAAGTGCCAGTATTCTCCTGTAGCAGGTATTAATCTGTTAACTTTTCGACTGGAGTTCAGATTACAGCATATCTACAATGCTTACAAAAGCACTACCTATTATTGAATCTTTTGATTGAGGCAAGTATTTTTATGACTGTAAGAAGCATCTCAAAAATGAAAAATGACACAAACAGCATTTAAAGTAAGCCTAATTTTATCTTACTGAAAAATATGATTAACATTAATGTCAGTGCGTGCTTACTAACACAATTTTAGAAAACCAACACTTCTAATAAAAAAAATATTACGAGAACTAAAGACAGCCAAAAATTCATGGCTGGAATTATTCCTAAAAACACTGTCCTGTTATCTTCTCTACTGTCATTTACATAGACAGCATGCCATGAATATGCTGCAACGATACATTATTCTTGATCAGATTCGTCTAATGGAAACATAATTTAATTAGTGACTTTAAAACATTTATGTGCAAACAGCTATTAAAATGAATAACAACTGCTGCTTAATTTAAATGTGTATATGTTTCTTCAGAAAGCAACGTCCATAGCCTTTACTAATGACAGGTCTGCATTATTTTACACATAACTTCCCTCCAAAAGTTTGTTCTTTCGTACTCTTGGGGACTGAATTCGTACCCTCTCATTTAGCCATCTAAAATCTTCTGCAAAGTAATTGCTAGACCGCTTTTGTAGTGGGATAGAAAACATACCCAGAGGCAATTCATGCAGCCTACTCTGTGTGTTCGAGACAGGCCGGGACAAGTTATGTTCTGTATCTGCCTCCTTCCACGGGCTACATAGGGAGTCAAGAAACAGCTCTAGACAAGCATTTTAGGTGGCCCCATAGGAGATGTGTAGGTTCTGTCTCCTGAATCCTCACACAGGTTGAGGGGAGGAGAGAGAATGGGAGGGAAAAAAGAGGAAAGGTGCATCTCCCTATGACAACAGGGCAGCTGCCTACCTGGCCATAACAGTATTTTGGGTTTGGAAATCTCCAGTTTACACTCTGGTAGTGCCAAAGCACTGCCCCACAGACCAAGGTTCCTCTAAAATAGAAATAAATGATATTTCCTGAAAATTGCATAGTGAAGGGAAATAGATGTAATCTTTAAGATACAATCAAATGTATTTTTCACAACAGCCTTCAAACAATGTCCTAACATCTCTGTAATAAACTCTGAACAAATCCTTACAACTCATTGTATGGTGCACAAAATACAACTCTCACCATTAGCCTACTGTTAAATACTGGTGAGGTAAATATTTTTTCTAACAGTATTATTAAGAGAAAAGAAACTTACGGCTAAAAAGGTCACAGTACTGCATTCCTTGCTCTGGTTTTTACCACTAAATTCAATAGATGGTTTGACTGAATACTGACAGCAAGATCTGTGCTTCTGCTTTCCCCATCTGAAATGTGCACATCAGCCACTGTGACATTTGATGGTCTTGTAATGGGATGTCTTCCTAGGTTTGGATTAGTTGCTTCCTACAGTAATCTCATATTGCTGAAACATTATAAACGCACAGGCATGGCTCCCACATGCTAACGCTGCACTTGTTTTGATTCGGTAAGCACATTTTAATGCTGCTAGCACAGATTCTCTCCAGACTTGTATGAGAATCATTTTATTGTCATTACATTACAATGCAAGATTACGGTGACACTAAACCCTGATTGAGGGGTTTGACAAAAAAGACAAAAAAGAATTACAAAAAATGCAAAAAAAGAGTGGCTGGTGAATAGATATTTATTATATTCCAAAAAAAAAATTAAACATGGCTTCTATTTAGTAACACTGGTTGCTCTGGCTGCATGGGGAACATTGTAAGAGGGTCTTTCCCTGTATAATCAGATAATCCTAGGAAGTGTGATACAGCAAGGTTTGCTATGTACTTATAGCTGGAGGAAACACTTTAAGCACTCAGTTCTACTGTGAGTGACCTCTACAATGCACAGAAAGCCCGTATCAGAAATGCAGAGCATAGATGCAGTAAACTACCACAGAGGTTTATAGGGCGAAACTATTCTCCCTTCTCCCCAGCACACAAGCAAGTTTTCTAAGTTCTCTGATACATGAAAACCTGATTTGGAAATCGGATGAAAGGACCATGAAAAAATGCAGGTTTCTGGGCAAGCAAGCTCTTGTCTCTTCTGCACAAACAACAGATGTGCTTCTTTGAAGGTGAAGCAGATTATTTCCATTAAAGTCCTAACCGTCCTTCCCTGATTGAATGATAAGAAGTGACATTGGTTGCTTTCTTATCCCAGACTGGAGCTATGAGACTAACAGACTTTCTGAATTTCATGCTAACTCAGAAAATAAAGCTGCAGCAGGTCATCTTATCCATCCGAGTAGAGGCAGTGCTTTCTTTACTCACTAGCTTTTTATTCTGTTGATTAAAAAAAAAAACAACAAAAAACAACAACAAAAAACAAACAAGTCTCATGACAGCTTTTCATTGCATGGCCCCTTGCTTAGTGCAGAAGTACTAAGGGAAAGGGATGTGCAGTGCTGTCTCCCCACGTAGCTCTCAGTACAAATGCATCAGAATGACCTAATAGTACCACCCTGCAGGTAACACTAGGGCAAGCCTTAGTGTCCTAAGGATTTATGTGTGCTAGGAGTGATTTTGCTTACCTTGATTAAAGCCCTCTGACAGCAGGTCAACACTTCCAGCATCTCTCTCTTACAGGAGCTCTCATCTAACCCCACAGAAGCATAACTGTAGCTCTTCCCTTAATAGGGTATTTGCAGTTTCTCATCTCTCTGTGGCTATACTTTCATGGAAAAGTAAGAACCTCACCATTTCACGTGTCTGTAATCTCCTGAATGGGTAGGAATTGGCCAGTGGATCCAAAAAAAAAGAGATCTTTGGGGGGAAATAATCGAAAAGCATTGCCTGTCCGTTGTATTTTTTTCCTTTAAACATGTGGTCCCAGAGATGCCCAGAATAATGAGCTGACACAGCAGCCTTCAACAATCTAGCTCTGGTCCTACAGCAGTGAGAAGCACCATCTCCTTAAGCAGCCAAGGTAAAAGAAATTTCAAACACTGTTTTTCCTCTACATTTCCTACATATGATTTGAGCAACCAAAAAGTTTTTAGACAACAGAAGTAGAAATAAGACTTTGCAGAATATGTGCCACGAAAAAAAGTTACAAGACTTTTAGTGAGCACAACATACTGCTGGAATGGTACCGGCAATGTCCTACAAATTAGAAGCAAAGACACTTGAGTTGTTAGAGAATTTAAACACTATTTCAGCATAGGGGGAAGGCCAATATATTGATTTCTTGCCCTTGGAACCTTTGAAAAATACACCTTTGGGAAAGAAACTGGGCAAGTGAGAGCAAAGCTTTTAGAACATTCACCTGGAAGGATAAGTGAACATTCTCAGTGCACACTCCTTGCATTGCTCAGCTACTGGCAGACAGGCTGACCTTCCAGCATCACGCAGTCTGAAGGGCACATTCTCACGCTACTTTGGTCTTGAATCAGACAAGCACAGAACTGATTTCTTCCTTACCATTTAATACACACACTTTTTAAAAAAATTGGTTTAAGTTCAGCTGCTGTTAAGACAATAGAGTCAGTCTTTCATTTTACCTTATTTCTAGGCAGATACTAGATTCAAATCTGAGCATTCTCAGAGCAAAGTCACATGGAAGTTTCTCTTCCTCAGAGATCTGAGATCAACATCCCCATAAATGTTTTTCTCATCAACTTCTCCTTTAGAAGAACTCCAGGGGATTCTGTAGTTTGGGCAGCTTCCAAAACTATTCCTGATAAAAGGTCATATAAAAATTCTGCCCCAGGATCAAGCATTACATTAATTATATTTTACATGCACGTACAGTGGTTTTAGGCCAAATATCAGGACTGAAGTCATTTTACACTGTGTAACTGTCTATGCAAACACGGGCCAAGGCCCGCATGCTGATACATGTGTTTGTATTCCTAGGGCTAAAAGGAATCTTATTTGCTTCTCAAGGTGCTGGGTAACAAGCGCATGCTCTCTTGCTATGACAGTGTAATACAGGAAATAAATATGTCTCCAGTATTCATTCCCTCCAAATTTCAGATCCGAAACTTAAGCATACAGCTAACTACCATTATTCTTATTGATTTAATTGGCTTTCTCTTTACTTAAGGTCACACATATCTCCATAGCATGGATACAAGGTTTAGTGCCTCATCTGAGATGGCAGACTGCAGCAACTTCTGTTCCAGCAGAATATAGCCCACACAGCAAAACATGAGGCAACCGAATGCTGGGGTGCAACTTAGAGCTGTCTTGTAACTCTGAGTCTGTATGCTTTATAGAGTCTGTATGCTTTGTCAGCAGTCAAAGTCAATCACAGAAACACAGAATGATTTGGGTTGGAAGGGACCTTTAAGATCATCTAGTTCCACACTCCTCTTACTGGCAGGGATACCTCTCAATGGACCAGATTGCTCAATGAACTCTTACTTCTACAACCTAGACTATGCGCTCACCCTCAGTTGGGTACAATATCAGAACAGCAGGAACAACCGACATGCAGAAGCTGGAAAGGTTGTCAGCTCTCCTGCATATCCTTTGGCTTTTTCAAAGTACAGTTAAATGGTCATAGTTAACAAGAACTGTATGGAGAACTGTCTTCTCTTTCTGTGTCACAGAATAACAAAGTATCTCTGCAAGAAGGTATAAACTCAGTATCTCCTTGTCCTGGACTCTTCATCCTGGAAACTACTAATTAGTTGCACTGCAAGAAATCTTTGATACCCAGTGTGAAATGAGCAACAAAGAGTGGGATCTCCACATCAAAGTTTACAGCCCTCAAGAGTTCCAGCAGTGAGACCAGAAGAACTTCTCCAGACCCATCTGAACATGCCCAGTGATAAGCAAAATCTGGAGGAGTCCGATGCAAAAATCCAGCTTTATTAATTTTCATGAAATCTTAAGAAATCTTGGCTTCAGCTTGCTGAAGAATGAATGCTGTTCAATGTTTTAATTTCTGAGAGATGGAAAAAATATTTTAGATCCACATGAAGTGAAATAAGAAATAAAGTACACAGAATGTTCAGAGAAACATTCCTTTAATAAACACTCTCTGGTACCATATGGCTGACTGTATACTGATTTTGATATGTGAGGAGCAGGCTGATGTCTTCCCAAGCACGGAGGGAAGTGGTGACGCTTGCTCCTGCTCCACCATGCATTAATTTAATAAGTTAACACTGGTCACCTATATGAAATGTAATTAAACATCTGAATGCCATTGTTGCCACCTTTGATTATTACTACAAAAATGAATGAGATGACGGTGACATGAGGGCAAATATTATGTCTGTTAAATTCCAAAACATGAGAGGCACACATAATAATAAATGACACATACGTAGTCTTTCATGTAACAATCCCGAAGTACCTGACAAAACGATACAAAACCACCTATTACAAGCATCACTTCACCCATCACCAAACCGCCGCCCCCAGCAGGAAAAAGGCAACAACCTTTAAACACTACAGAACATATTATGGCAGATAATGTTGAATAACAAACACATCCAGCATAAACCGCAGGGCAATTCTACACAGGCAAAACACTATTTTCCAAAAAAGAAGTGACCTCTGGCTAGTAGCCTGTTTCATTCAACAGCTATCACAGGCTTCCAGCACACAGAAGACGGCATTCTCAACAAGAAATGCACCTAAAAAAAAACAGATTTCAGATTTCGTAGAGGTCATTTGTACTGATGATGAACTTGCTCAGCCACAAAAGTTGTTCATCTGAGCTGGTCACCAAGGTGATGTACGTGTTTCAGCTCAGGATCGGGCCCACCTCAGCACAGTGCCTGCAGGGGCTGCCCAGCCCTGGGCACTGCTGGCTGGTGCCAAGGGAACCTTGCTGAACCTGGCACAACACGCTCCTTCCCGCTGCCCTGGCATCGCTGCAGGGCAGGAGAAATCAGGGCTTCACGGAACCGAGCTTCCTAACGGGCGCTGCACCTCAGGGCACGGCAGACACACGGTGCCTGCATGGAGCTCTGCTGTCGAGCTTCGTGCACTTCAAGCATCTCAGAGGGCAGCGGGAGCTTCCAGGCAGAGCAGTACCTAAAGACAGTTCTGAAGGTCCGAGCTTGGGACCGAGGCACTTGCTCCCTCACAGAACTTTCCTTTGACGGGAAAGTACTGCAGACAGAGGACGCCGTCCCAATATATAGCTGGCTATGCGCGCACCAACAATAAATACCAGCTCTAATAATAGCACGTAGCGCCGCACGCAGCGCAGCGGCCTCAGCTGGCCGCGACTGGCTGACTAGCGCACAGGCGATGCTCTCCAGCCCGGTCCCCCCCGCCCCGCCTCTCGCCGCAGTTCCCCACCCCCCCCCAGCACCGCCCGCCATCGGGCTGCGGCCGCGCGCGACGGGTGGGCCGTGCTCTGCCTCAGCGCTCCGACCCGGCGGGCCTGCGGTGCCGCCGCCCTCTACCGAGCGCTGAGCTCGGCCCCGCCGCCTCCCGCTCTCCCCAGCGCCGGGAGCCGCTCTCGGCTGTAACTTCGGCGAAGTTTCCCGGCCCCGCCGGCGCTTACGCCGGCCCGACGGGAGAGGCGCCGCACCCGCCGCTCCTCAGAGCCCGGCCGCGCTCGCTCGCTCACCTCGCGGCGGGACCCTCCGCCGGCAGCACCTCGACTCCCGCGACTCCCGCCCCGCTCGGGGAGGGACTTACCCGCCGCCCCGCCGCGGCCCGGCCCCGGGGACTGCAGAGGGGGGGAGCGGGGTGGGCGTGAGGCCGGCGGGGAGCGGGCGGCACCCCGTGGCGGGCTCTGCCGCTTCTTTCCTTGCCCGCCCCGTTCTCGGACTGCGCTGTCGTCCTTGTTGCGCTCAGGGCGACCTGCGAGCAGCCCGTGCCGCTGCCCCGCACGCTGAGCCAGCACAGAGAGCCGGCCCTGCTCCTGCCAGCGCGCGACAAATAACGGGAAGGCTGAAGAGGCGCTTCCCAGTGCTCACAAACTGGATGACAATGGACGGTGATTCTAAGTAAAGATGCAGATGTAAAGTATGAAATGAAATTGGTCCTGACGCCTAAGGTCTTAGAATTTCCACCCACGGTCTCAGAAATGTCTTATTTCCTTCCCCAAGGCCCATGACATGTGTATGGCACTATTCCTTTTTCCAGAAGGGTAAGCAGACACTGGTGACACGAGTGGCGAAGGCACTACAGACAGCAAACTCCTCCAGCCCTCACGCACACAGCTACAGCACAGCCACCCTGTGTACCGTGCAGCTGAGTTGCTACACTTGGGAAGTGCACATCACACTTTTCTAAGAACCCACTGTTCTCCTCACTGTCCATTTTGCTTTGACCACTTTCCAGTCACCATTTTTACCAGATGGAATCAGCAAAGGCCCTGAGCACTGCTGTGTTGAGCCTCAGTCTGTGTTCAGTACTATAGCACGGCACGTGTGAAAGGATTGTCCTATGCCTGGCTTCAGTATGACTGTTTGTTGACTGGGGATGGGATCCTAGCTCTTAGTCAGATCCCAAATATTCCTGTGATGCTTTCAGCATCAAGAAGATAATGAGTGGGCAAAACTGGGAATGAAAGCCAATGCATTACGATTTCAGGCCTTTTATCATCTATCTTACAGTGAAGGAGAAAGGTGGAGGTAGTGGATGAAAAATGAGGAGGGCTCTTGAGTAAACAACTTTAGAAAGGTAGGAGGTAAGAGAAAGCTGGACTTTTATAAAAAAAAAAAAAAGATGAAGAATTGAGTTTTAGCTTAAAAAAAAAAAAAAAAAAAAAAAAAGGGAGAGGGAGAAAGAAAGAGGAAAAGAGTCATCAAATCATAGAATCATTAAGTTGGAAAAGACCACTAAGATCATCCAGTCCAACCATCAACCCATCCCCACTGTGCCCACTGAACCATGTCCGTCAGTGCCACATCTACATATTTCTTGAAAACCTCCAGGTATGGTGACTCCACCACCTCCCTGGGCAGCCTGTGCCACTGCCTCACCGCTCTTTCTGAGAAGGATTTTTTCCTAATACCCAACCTGAACCTCCCCTGTCACAACTTAAATGTATTACCTCTTTTCCAAGGAAGGAGTGAAAGGGAGAAAGAAGAAAAGAAGGAAGAAAGAAAGGTAGGAAGAAGAAAAAAGAGAAAGAGAAAAGAGAAAGCGCTGTAGAATACCATGTGGAGTAGAGTCCATGATGAGGAGTGGTATTGACAAGGCCGGACTGTTAGGATCTGAATTTGAAGAGAAATTACTGCCTGTTAAAGAGAAGGCAGAAGTGAAGTTGAAGCAAATGAAATGTTTGGGATGTTGTGCATGAGCAGTCTACCACCACGGGTATGGAACAGGGATAATACAGATACATGGTTAGAGCCAAACTGCTGGGACGGTTCCAGCTGTCAGCGTCACTTGTTTTTATTTGCTTTTCATATGGAGTCAAGTGAGCATGAGTCTACCAAAGATTAAGTGGAGACATGAAAGCATGTCATTTATAATGCCTTGTATTTCACCATGTTCATATTGCTGGACAATCAGTGAAGGAGAAATAATGTGTGAGAGCTATGTTAAAAACAGTCATGCAGTGCTTTATAGGACATCATTTGTCACTGACCGTAGCAAACCTATTTTGAAGATTTGTGATCAATTTTGCATGGGGCTTGTACTCCTACATGTCTTGTATTTTAAAATATAAAAACAATGTGAAATCTGAGATAGCTATAAAGTAAAACCATATTCAATTTGCATTTTTACACATACAGAATGATCTTCTCTTTAAAGTAATCTTCAGTATGTCTAAATCAAAGTAAAGTACTATATATAAATATATATTTTTTTAAGTCTTTGCTTCACCCTCCAATAAAAAGTCTTGTAAACATCAAGTAACGAGGCTGTCTTGCTCAGAGCAGGTGTGTAGTGAGCAATGCAAACAGGTCAGCAGCTGGCAGTGTATAGGAGCTGTACTGAGACAGTGCCCAGAAATGTCAGACCCCAGGTAAAGTTTCCCAGGACAGGGAGGCTGTGACAGGCCCTGCATCCCAGACAGTGATGGGAACAGCTGCGCTAGAACACCAGGACCTGCAGGGACTTGGTTCTCTCCAACCCGAAATCTTACCAGGGCTCAGCTACTCAGGTGTGACAGCAGATATAAGAATCATGCCATGTTTTGATTTGCTCAGACAGCAATTTATAATGTCTATACTAGATTAAACGAAACTGTTCTTTGAAATAAGACCCTTACTGACTCTGATAACAGTGCAATATTATAGCATTTGTTAGGCCAGCTGATATACCTGGAAAAACAAACTGTCAGATGCAAACTGTCAGCATCAGTACGATGCTGCATATCAGCTGGATAGTTGGCTGACTGAAGACATTAGTCTTCAATAAAATGTTAGTCACAAGGGAATTCCAGTTCAACAAAAATTAGTAACTGGAGACCACAGATTGCTGTTATTCTTTCTTCAGAAGGATAATAAGCAGGGAAAGGAAAAAGATGCAATGTGTAAATTAAAGCAATGTTTGCACAAATGCTATTGCAAACATTAAATGTTTGCACATACCACTGAAAAATGAGAAATGAGAGTATGACTTGCACATATATATAATATAATCCATAGTTTACAAGTTAGCATGTATAAATGGAAACCCTCAGTACACAAAAAAATGTAAAAAAAAAAAAAAAAAAAGTCATCCAGAAAAGTTAAAACATGCAAAATTAATCCTTCAGGAAAACTCTTCATTGATCATGAACAAATGGATTTTTTTCCCCTCTTTTTGAAGTGGTTCAGTGAGTTGAGAGGGTCACAGTGTGTAATTTGCTTGTCAGTAGGGCATACACTTGTTTCTTTAAATGACAGGACAACTAACAGGAGTCCTTCAGTAAGTGCAGGAGATGAATTGTATAATAGGTAGGGCTTGAAATCAACCACGTTTGGAGAGGGCCTTAGAAGTATCTTTTTGTTTAGAAAGTTTTCTTGTTTGTTCATTTGTTGTTTTGCTTAGCAAAATTAGTAACAGATAACAGTGGCTGTTCTTGCATAATTCTGCTCCATGTCAAATTGCAGGTGCTCCAAGGAGCAAAAAGAATTGGAGGAAATAGGTAATACACAATATTTAACAGAAAATAACAAAGTTGTTCATTCATTAACAGCAAAAGTAAAAGGCTGTTTCTGAAGAGTACTAAGTTACAGTTTTCAGGAGGCAAAAAGCAGAACACTATTAATTCTTGACAGAAATGTTACTCAACATTACATTCTTAGTTTTAATCTGAGATGGCAGAAGGTATTTAGAAATAGACCAACTGGGCTGATCATTGTGAAAGTTTGAAGAATTCAGCTTTAATATTGTTTCTGAATGCCATCTTTCTTCTTGCATTTAGAATTAACATCTGCTTAAAATCCATGGAAACAATGCAGAAGAAAATAAATTGTAATAACTGAGGGAGTTTGGAGGACCAAGCATCTGTAGGAGAAGCTGTGGCTTTCCAGCCGTTGAATGAAATTGTTTCACCACCTTCATCTATTTTCCCTTTGTTTGACAAGGCGAGGCATGGGCTGTGTACCTCTCTTGTTATCCTGCTGATTAATATTTTAGGAGGATAGGCATTTTCAAGTTTTGGTCTCACCTGAAAAATGTCTTTTTTTTTTTTTTTTTTTCCTAGAGAAGAGTGTGGAGACAAGTTTTACTGTGAGTCTGTACACTTCAGAGGTATTCACAGCAAAAAGTTCGCTTTCTGAGTTAAGAGGAATTTTCCAATGACATGTATGTAAATCCACTCAATCTAGATGAGAAGTGACTATACAGACTTTTTTTAGAAGATGACAGGTTTACCACTCATGTATAATCTTAAGCTTCAGGTGCCTTACAGGGATGATTACAGAGTACAGGAACAGAAGGAGGAGAGAAATGAAACTCTTGGTTGTGCTGGTAGAATGGAAAATGGAATGATGAGGCAACCTGTGTGATTTATTATGGGCTTTCAGTTGAGAGCAAAAAGTTCCCAAATAAACATTACAGTCTCTTTTCAAGAAAGATTTATTTTAACTGTACAACAGCATAAATAAAAATCAGCGTGACTTTTACTGTTTCACTCACTATAACAGCCTTTAACATCATTTTATAGTACTAGGTAGAGGAATTTTGGAAACTTCCACTGCTGCGTTTCTCTCCCAGTGCTGTAGTGGTTTCATTCAGTAGTACAAGACAAAGGCTTATTTGTGTTAGTGATAAAGCACATAAGTAATCAAATGGTTGCCACTTCAGCCTGCCACTTTGCTTTCATTCTTTTGATAAAACCCTAGAGCCGCTGATAAATGACTTTGATACCATCTGTATTTGCAATTAGTACCAAAGTTACAAATATCTTCACAGGGATGTAATTGCAGGCAGAACCTGAGGCCATTATGTTTCAATTCACTGTACAAACACAATTTCTTCTAGTTAGTTGCCACCTTTTAAACTCTGTGTCTTTAATGAGAGAAACTGAGAATGAGAAAACTCCTTAATGAGAGGAATTGAAATGGAGATGGCTCTACAAGCTCAAACTGAACCATCAAGTGAGGCCAGACTATTTGATTTTCTAACTAACTCACCGGATCAAATCCTATCTCCTTAAATCAGTTCCCAACCTCCCATTACTTTATTACAAACAACATTTGTCCTTTATAGCCTCAAATTATCATATTTTAGGATTAGGCCTCTGAAGGCCGTGAAGTTGCTTACGTTTAAGAAAAGATAAAGCCTTTGTCTTGCCTAAAGCACATTTCAATTTTGTTTAAATGTGTTTCTCTATTTGTTTTTCACAGAAAGATGCTGTAAGTCATAGAATCATAG